TAGTCTTTACCATAGTCATTACCATAGTCTTTACCATAGTCATTACCATAGTCTTTACCATAGTCATTACCATAGTCTTTACCATAGTCATTACCATAGTCATCACAATAATCATCACCATGATAGTTATCGGAATCTTCATTGTCACCGAAATAATTATCACCATCGTAATATTTGTCATTGGTATGCTTCCAAGAATACCAATTTTTCCCAGAATTACGTCCGTTTATACTGTACTTCATTTTTCCATCTCTATATCTTCCGTACTATAAAATTAGATATTAGATAGTGAGATATAATACAACTTATACAACTTGTGCTATTGTAAAAAATTTTTTTTTAGAAACGTACCACTGAATCGTAATATCCAAGAGATTTGCAGAAGAGGAGAACTACGACTATATTTTGTAAATTTAATAAAATTGTGAGAAATAATTTGCATACTAAAGTCAGGTGTAATTGTTAAAAATCATTACTTACCATTTTTATCATCTTTATCATTATTATATTTCCCTTTATCATCTTTATCATTATTATATTTCCCTTTATCATCTTTATTATATTTCCCTTTATCATCCCAATTTTCTTTCGAATCTTTCGAATCTTTTGAATATTTCGAATCTTTCGAATCTTTCGATAAATGACTATCTCTTTTAACAGGGGTATTTTTTTGTTGTTCCATTTGGTCATCTTGTTGAGCAACTGCTTCATTAGGATTCCAAGTAAACTCCGCAACCCATTGATCTGCGTCGACTTTTTCACATTTCACATCTAAACCATAGTTATTAGCCAATACGGGAGAATTAATCGATGTAAAGGCCAAAAGACCAAATATGATAAAGAATAATTGAGAGGATTTCATGTTTTTATTTATATACATATATATTCGAAAAATACAATTTTTCTTAAATTTTTATTTTTTTTTTATTTTTTTATTTTTTGGAGTTAAACGAGTGCTTTTTTTCTTTCTAAAGGATCGTGGGAAGTAAAATTTTTTTTTTTAAAAAAAAAAAATCCTTAAGATTTTTTTTTTATTTTTTTTTTATTTTGTTGAGGAATGCTACCCACGAGCTTATAAATAATTTTCACTATGAATATAATCTAGATATTATTATCTTTCGAAAACGATTAAGGCCGAAAATGTCCATACATGCTTTTTTTTTTGTGCATACATCAAAACAATTTCCTAATTTCGTAATTAGATAAATTAGGTGCAGGAGAAAATAAAATTTTATTGGATATTCAGTATCGTACATCATCAAAAATATCGAATATCTTCTTTTGTCAGACAGTAATAGCACTGAATTAAGGTTGTAGATCTGTTTTCAAAGTGAAAGTAGATATTTTTACAATATATGCGGAATTTGTTGGTGGAAGTGAATAAATGCGGAGCATAACTAATTTTTGTTCAGGTTTTGAACTTAACCCTGGCCAAGATAGCTAAGATTGAAATGGTAAAGTAAGAAAAACCAAATCTAGTAAAAAATAGTTAAAATATTTCTAAAAAAGGGTTTGTATACTTTTAACAAAAAATTATTGGAGATTTTTGATACAGTTTATCTTACTCCTAAGAAGATAGTTATACTAAAGCGGCACCTAGATTTTTTAATGTTTTTTTTTATTTAATTTTTTGTTAGAAGTTCAAATCTAGAAATCGTATGTGTACTAATTTCTCCTGAAGTTTTATGTGAAAACCACAAATCATCGCTTTAATATTTTCTAATAATATAATATAATGCACAGTGTTAACTTTTTTGTAATAATTGATTGATAATTGATTGCTGACGGATTAAACATCCGAACGATATTGATAAATAAATAATCGGATAAATAATTATCGTTATGTAAAGGTAATTTCAATTTTAATTAATTTGATAAGAGATGGTTAATATCAGCGAAACAGAATTTTATTAATATTTACTTTAACCTCCTTTTCAAGTAAATTTAACGAATAATTGTTTTTTTTTTAAAAAAAAATCTCATAATCAGTTTTAAAAAAGTTCTTCATTTAATTATTATTAATTATTACTATGTTATCGATTTATCATTCAGTATTGTGTTAGAGATTATTGCCAAGCATGTTTTTAATGTACATATCAACATATGCAATATACACATGTTACGTATAAGTTTACTATAAGTTTATTATGCACATTTATAAGTTTATTACAAGTTTACTATGTATGCGAAGTTATATCATTAGTACAATATAGTACGTAAAATTTGATTCTGCAATTTTGTGTTCTTTAATTGTCTCCATCACAAATCGAGAAGAGGTAATTAACTATCCCTTTTTTGGCATCTTGATTGTTAACGTTACCGTTACTAACCATAATAAATGATCATCGGCAACATTTGCCTATTTCTGGAATGGCTAATCTTTTTTTCGATGATTTAGGATTAAAAGAAATTATTGAATTTTTTGTTAACGTTAAGCATTCGATACATTGTTACGTATTCAAAAATTTTCTATAATACTATTTATGCATCAAAATTTCTTTTCGAAATTTCTACACATCGGAGCGACATTGCACATTCTGTCTCATAACGATAACACTTATCGATACGTACTTACGTACATACGTACAGTACAGTACTGTGAACATCAAAAACCTATAAGTGGCTAGTGTGGCTTACCTACGCACGTTGATTGAATACGTAACAACGAAAAATTAATTAGGAAATAGCGACAGCTGCACGAATATAAATAAAAACTAACCTAAAAAACCTAAATATGAAATAGTGTTGGTTGCACGAATAGTAATAAAAATTTATCCGCTTCCGAACTTTTGGTTTAATTTTTATTTAAATTTTGTGAACAAATTATTCGTTTATTTTTATCGTACTCCGAAACAAGTTAATGTCTCAGGATAAAGAAATAATTTAATGAATTAATTCCTGATAAACAAAAAATCTTCAAAAATACTAAACTTATCAAAACCATTTAAAACGTAATCATGACTACGATGCAACTTATTACTGCACGAAACCGTGAATCATTCTTCAGCACGTTTTTTTCTGTGTCCAAATTACAAATTTTCTAATAATGATATCGTGAACCTTCACAATACTCCATTTAGATCTTATTGTTTCTGAGCTGTACGATACCATTGGGATATTATTGAGGACGAATAAGTAAATTTTAGTAGATCTTTGAAAAGTTTTTATTCAAAGCGGAGTCTCTCATTATGCTAAGTAGTTTTAATATAATTAATCTTTAAATATAGTAAAAGCATATTTATTTGATTCCAAATTTTTTCAAATTGAATTTTTGACTCCTCAGTGCGTGAGAATGTCACTGATTTATGAGAACATTATTGATTTACGATATTACTGATTTACGAGGACATTACTGAGAAGAATGTTCAACAAAAAAAATGAAAAATACGAAAAGGCAAGCAACAATTAAACGGATTAACTAATTTTCCATCCCCAAGACTTTATGCATAAATCCCATTGTCGCCGTCATCTTTATTATTTTACATATTTAAGAACAGTGAAACATTTAGCATGTTTCTACTTCTTAGTCTTATAAATTGGTTAGTAAGTCGACTAACAACATTATAATATACATTTTAATTTAAAAACAGCAAATGTAAAAATTCGATCTCATTCAAAACGGAAAGCAATATTCAAATTTTGTTTTGATGCTTACACAAAATATGACAAATTTTCAAATTTGAGTATTGAAGTATCTCTGTAAGCAAAATAAAACAAATTTTCATATATTTTTTTTTTTTTTTTTTTTTTTTTTTACCTATAAACATGTAAAAAAGTTGAAAGGAAAATAAAATCAAATACTTGCACACTCGTTTCGCTTAACTTCTGCAAATTAAAATGTCATTGATTTCATTTGTAGACTATTTAAGGTCAAAAACCAACTTGATACTAGATTCGAAATTCTAATTCATCTAACCATATGTTATTAACAATATTTAACAATATCGATATTAAATTTTGATTTACCATATAGAATTTACCAATTTCCTCAATGTAACTATTGACTGGGATTATTCGTGATTATTTACATATCATTTTCTTTTAAATTGTACCATCTTAGGGTTAGTGATAGCGTTAATGGGCAACGATATGCCAAAATTTTGCGAGAATTTCTTTTATTTTTTTATTTAATTATTGCGCAAAAATTAGTTTCTTAGTCGAAACTTTGAGATTCAGTGTGATTTGTCAGAAAAAAGAAGAAATTGGCAAATGTGGTCATTGCTGTCATGTGTATAAATACAGAAAAAGCAAAAAAAAAACCCCCTCACTATGAATTTTAAGATATAATCGATAATAAACATTACTTTGAGATAAAGCGTAAAAAAGATGTAGTGTTTGAAACAAGCCCAAGTAAACCGAGGGCAAAGAACTATGGAAAAAATTGTTTGGAATACTTTGTATTACGACTTTGTTATTATCATAAATCCGTGAGCAACTAAAAAAAAAATGCAAATTAGGATGTTAAATGGTTCAGATGAACCAGGGTCGAACCTGGTTCAAACTAGTTTTTTTAGTAGTCGTCAAAAGAAAAATTAACTAGAAATTCTTCCATAATCTAGCTCATAGACTTGGTTTATAAACCCAGTTTATAAATCTAATTTATAAAACTGATTTAAAAATCTGGTTTATGAACCTATTCAAAATAGGACTCATGAGCAGTGTGTAAAAAAAAAGTTTATTAATCTGGACAAGATAATTACTTATTATTATTGATTAATTTTATTTTTGCTAAATTTTTTTATGTAATAAGTAATTGCTTTGACTATCTCTAGAAAGAGTACTGTTGGGAAAAGGATTGTAGAAAGAATAATTGTCAGGGAAATAATACTGTCACGAAAAAATTGTCAGGGAACTGGTAGAAAAATGAGTGCCACCGCATATATTTACTTTTTGCTGATATGATGAGTTATGCGGATAGAATTTTCCATTACGTATTCATGAGTAAACTTAGGTTGATCAACTTGTGTTTGAACTTAAAGTTTATGTTGCTTCAAGTTTATAAACCCAAGTTCAGACTTAAATTTAAACTTTAAAACTGAACTTAAACTTCAGTTTAGTTCGTTTTTTTGAGGGGGACTGAACGAACTACTTAACATCCCTAGATCCAGGGTTGGCAATGGAACACAATGGAACCCAATGGAGCTGCGGATGGTGCCAATGGAGCTATGAATGGGTGTCAATGGACACAGTTTTTTGAGCTCTATTGGCTCAATTACCTGATCGACAAGTCACCGACTTCGGCCGAAATCGGGAATTTATCGGTCTCGGTTGTCAGCATTTTTTCAGTTGTCCCTGGATTTATAATATTAACTGTAAAAAAAAGAAATATATGTGAATGAAGCCGAGCGCAGTGAAGCCCGTAATCAATCAATTGGTAAATATTGATTAAATAGTTTTTAATCAGTAAATATATCCAATACCCTGATTGATACCTTATTGACCTCTTTTGGAACTATCAATAAAGAGATTTCTATTAAAACTTGTGTTGCGTAAAAGCATATGCAATGATAGCAAGTTCATGGGAAAAGCAACAAGGATAGATATACGTCACAGTGAAATAATATAGCACCCCTTGAATGCAGTGTTGGCCATTTTGGGTCATATTCAACTTTATATGACCAAGGTGGTCATAATGTAATAGTAAATTTTATAAGT